CCACAGCCGCAGCCTCGCAGAAGACGACGTCATCAGATGCCAGCAAAGCACGCTTTGTCCTCATTGTCTGGGACCGTTCCACCTTCTGGACATGCGTGTCGCCCGCCATGTCAGACAAGATATCCACAGCCCAAGGTATGTCCGTGACAGGAGGGAGCAAGGATGTTGCAGTCAAGCTTGCATCCTGCATGCAACGCAGCATTTCTGCGCAGGCACGCAGGCAGAGGTTCTGGTCGAGGTGAGTGCCCATGACCTGGGCTGCAATGGTTTTCACGATTCGGTGCTTCCGTTCTGGCCCAAAGCAGCTGTAGTTGCCAAAGCGCCGCAAACCACGGGGAATGTGAAACATCCAGTGGAATTTGGGTTTGGCCAAATCCTCGTAGAGCAAAGCAAACGCACGCGCGTGCTCCCCGATGAGCGCCGTCAGTTCATGGACATGCCTCACGGCGTCGTCTCCCGCCTGCAGGATTGCAAGGATGCGGGCCATAAGCCCCATGCAGCGGGCGTGCTCTGGCAGAACACCGGCCGGCTGCAGAACCGTCATGCCAAACATATATAGGATGGGAATGACCAACAAGACCTCTGCTGCAAAAGCCTTCAGGTGGGCACCTTCTGCCTGCACCCGCTGGGCAAAGAAGTTTTTGGGCAGCTTCTCCCAGGACTTGCTCGTGATCCATTCAGATGCAAATGTGTCCAGAATCTCCAGGCTGTAGCCCTCCTGAGTGGAGAGCATATTTTGGCTCTGCTTAAAAGTCTTCTTGTTGGATGTATAGAACGGTAGACAAATGTAATACACAGACACATTTTCAAATCTTCATATAGGCTCCGCCTGGGCTGCCAGCACGAAGCCATTGGCCTCGTAGGACGCTACCCCGCCCGCAGCGCAGAGGATGTGCCTCTGTGTAAATGTTCTTTTATAAGCCCTAAACCCTAAACCCTCGAGCTGATTTAAGAAAATACCACTCCTCAGGGCTCTCAAATGTTCTATCTAACTTTTAAAACGTGGAGACGCAAAATGACCACCCAAAGCCCTCGGTATATGTAATGAACTCTCAACCCTAAGAGAAAACAACAGATTTGTCTGGAAGAGGAGCCAAGCACATCCAGTCCCACATATTGTGGGTAATGGGGCTCAGGCGCGACCATCGTGCGTCCCACAAGATTCCATGGGCGTCGTAGCTGATGCCTAGCACCTGCTGCAGACGTTTGTTTCGAGGGTCAGCAGCAACCTGCTCTTGCATTTGCCGGAAAGTCTCTCGGGTGTGAGGGCGGAAGCGACCGCTGTCCACGCATGTGTAGTGAACCAAAGAACCTCGGGGATCAACGTCAGCTGCTTTGCAAGCGCCTATAACGTTCATGCACTCGTAGCAGGGCTTCGTGCCCGCGGCGCCTTTCAGGCACCAAATCTGCTTGATGGCTTTTTCGTCTGCAAGGAACATGGCTTCATGGGCGTGAAAAGTCCAAGGGCCGCTGCTGGACTCACACAAAACTCCACCAGGAAAGCTGCTGGCCAAAAAGGAATGCCCAAAGAAAACATCCAGCATTCTTGCAAACAACCAGCTCTGAGACCCAGGAATACTGTCCAGAAGCTTTACAGGAAAGCTGGCGAAGTGATGCCACCCCCAGGCGCTTGATCTGGCCCAGTGAGGAAGTCCAAGCACTGTCCAGTAAAAACAGACCTGGGAACGCCCATGATCCGGCCTTAAGACATTGCCGGGAACCGTTTCATCGCAGTAAAAAAGCAACGTGGCTCTGCCATCCCTCAGGGTTTGCTTCAGCAAGTCCCCGTATTCAGGCCGCAACGTGCTCAGCTTGCGCAGCAGCGACATCGGGTTGACAAAGTGCCACTTTTCTCTTGTTTGTCCATCTGAGAGTAGTATATCCAGACTGCACAGCATTGGGCCGTGGAGTGTTTGGTCCATGTCTTGCGCCAGGTCTTCACGCACCTTGCTGCGGGCTCTGCGTTTAGAACAACGGCCATCTGACTCTAGAGCCGCAGCAGACGAGAATGTCACACTGGTGGGCAAGGTCTTGAAGAGGACCTGGCGCCTATTGAGAGGCTGCATGTGGAAGAGAATCCAGCTCCCAGGAAGCCATCATGTCTTGTGCCTCAGGTCATCCTTGAAGCAGACAACTAACTCCAGGCAATCCTTGAAGCAGACACCAAGCTTCAGGTAATCCTTGAAGCATCGCGCTATGTAGGCTGGAGCCTGTAGATAAAACAAGACTGGTCAAATGAACGGTTGTGCAAAAACATGTTGCGCTCAGAGGTCTATGTTGGGTTTTATTTGGGTATATAAAGTTTATGGGGCTGTACAACGCTTCCTTTGCCACAGCAATCTGAGAAACACTGGCCAAACCCTAAACCCTATACCCTAAACACTGGCTAAACCTCTCTACCATATATATTTAAACCCTAATGGTCAAAAGTGCCAAATGGTCAATCCATTT